CTCTCTTTCTCTCTCTCTCTCTCTCTCTCTCAATTATTGGAATATTTTCAAATAAAAATTATCACGACTTATTTTGTACTATAATAATGTAATCCAATATTTTATGTACTGTAAAGAATACTCGCATATAAAGTTATAGGAAACGCTCCTATAATTGTATCTTTTATTAACCTTCTCTGTGATTATTAAAGCATCATCTTACATCGGAGATCTATGTAATGAATTTTCGTGAGAAAATGACATAATTGCTTAGTCTGTCAAAATTGACAAGTCATCAATTGAGAGTATTTATGCGATATCTTCGCAAGAAATCGAGAAAGGAAAGATAGAGAGGGAGAAGGAGAGAAACAGAAGAGGAAGCCAGATATTTTGTTTATCGTTTGATGTTTACAACTTCGCGAAATATCTTGAAGATGTCTGGCTTGAAAATTTTGTGTTTGTGACGATTCATGAAAATTACACAGGACAGGAAGTAGGAACAAATACGTCAGTAAAATAAAGGTGCGCCTTAACTGAAACGTCAAATATTTCTTTGCGTGTAATGCGCCATGAAGCCCACATCCGGCCAATGAGAAATGCGATGCTGATGACTTTTTTTGAATCAACTCGCTCTCGCAGAAATCTCTTAGAAATCGTCATTTCCTTAAAAGCAAAGTCACCAACGGCGACTATATAAGTTGCGATGTCAGGATACTCTATTAAAATTTTAAAGCAAAAAAATGGAATAAATCCATAATATTGAGATACACTTTCAATATAATCATCTCTAAAAAAAATACATTCCATTTTAAAAAAATACATTCTTTACTTTAAGACCATTTTAAATAATGTTCTAAAACGCTATATAATATAACTCTATGGTCGGTTTTCATAGTCCATTCTTATTTCAAAATCGTTTTAAGTAATGTTTTAAAATGCTAATACAACCCTTTCATAGGTTTGTGATGTCTTGAGACTTAAGGCAGTTTTAAATATAAGACTCAAATATCAGTTTATAATTTGTGCTATCTGTAAAAGTTCTGTTCTTTACTTTTCCAAAAGGTAAAACAAAAAATTATAACACTAAGTGACATAAATAAAAATCATTTTAGACAAAATTATACTCTTTTAAAATAATTTTATGATTAATTTTTAAATAATTTATAAAATAAATTAAATTTTGAAATTTTTTAATTAAAAGATCGTTTAAAAATCATTATGTCAAGAATTTATCACAAAATTATCCTGAAGAGTAAAATTGATTGACATTATTATATGATTTTTCATAAAATCACTAGCTTTTACTGGATATTACATTAATATTGTATTTTACCTGGATTATGTTCGTTCTTAACTTTGTATACGTCATTTTGTAAGATTAAACAGTGACAATATTTTACTGTTTAATATTTGATTATTGTTAACCTTGGTTTCGTGTAAATATAAAATATAAGCGATGTTTTATCCACGCCAACTGTTGTCAAATTACACAATATTACTGAAATCGACACGTCCTGTCAATACAGCATAAGAGTAAAAGATGACAAATCACATAATTAAAAGATTGTACAATTCTTTTTCTGATAACAATGAATAATGTATAACCATTTTCTGTTTTTTCTATTTTGTTTTTACACGTCACATTTGCCTGTAGTGTGTGTAAGTTTATTTGCTTGCATTTTTGCTTGCACTTTTTTTTACTCAATATCTTCGCTTTCTTTTTCTTCAACACTCTAAAAAAATATATATTTATCTCTATTTATCTTGTTTTAAATGTACAAATTTTTGAGAATTTCAAACAACGCAAACAAATCTTATACAAACACACGTGCATATATCCAACAAAGATGAAACGTATTTTAGTTTGGTAATTTAAAAATGATTAGCTTCTTATCATTCTTTGTGAGAGAAGTTTAATCATAAATGACTCGAGGAGATTGTAGATAAAAAATACATTGCGTAAATATTTTTATATGTTTGCATTATCGATATAAGAGATCCTGCGATTTCTCATGTATTTCATTTTCCATGGGATATCACCTTGAAGCAATTCGACAGAGAGTGCTGTTTATGCACCGTATTTATGTCACGGTCACGGAGAGATTGCTTCGTGGGATTCAGGACCAGTTATGAACTTCAAGACCGCTCTTGGAGCGCAAATATCAAGAAAACTAAATATAATTTTTATTGAGAATAAAGTTATATATCTTCAGAAAGGTATTCCTTGCTTCTATGAAATTGATGTGTCAGGTTATTAGAATATTCGTAAGCACTTGAATAATTCGCAACATTTTAAATTTAAAAAAAATTTTTAACATGTATAAATATTAATAATATCGTAAGCTGACATTACAAATACAATACAATGAGCTTATTATATTGATGTATATTTAATATTTATAAAAAAATAAAATAATTTTCTATAAAAATAGTCTATACTGAAAAAAATTTTAAATTACTATAGTTTTAATTACTCGTACATCGACAAGATGTATATAATAAAATGCATTTTAGTAAAATTAAATCTCAAACAGAATCTTTGATTATTATCATTGTGCAGCTCTTTTACCATGTACATACAAAACCTATGCAATGACATCGTACAGTCACTTTACATTGCACTGGATAAAAATTTAGCAGACTTTTTTCCATTGTTTTTCCATTAAGATCCTCACGTATAATAAATCTTAAATAGCAAAGAAAAATGTTGTAGCAATTAAAAGAAACTATATCGTTATCTGTTTAATTAGTTTGCTGGATCTGGAAAAACATAATCGAGAAATAAGTGCAAAAAGTCTCGTATGTTTTTTGTTGAAGATCAGTTGCAGGAATTCTCAAGAAAGTAACGAGTTGGAAAATCCAAATAGTGAAGGTAGAATTAAATCATTTCAATAATTTATTCTGATGAATATTCGGTTGTCTAAAACAACAATTTAATTCAAGGATTCTTTATTTTAAAAAACTCATTATGTGTTACTTATTAATTCTTTTTGTATATTATCTATGCACGTGTATAAAATTTTTTTCCATTTCTACGTAATGCATTATGAATCGCTTTACATATGTGTGGAACACAAAAAGAAATTTTTTTAAAGAGAGTATTGAGAAATATCATAAATAAAAAATGCATTCATATGTTCTTTGTTTCTTCTTTTTTCTATTTTCAAATCACAGGATGCGTGTATGAGTAACAAACATGTGAATATTTTATTCAAATATTAAAGGTGACTTAATGGTAATTTGATGTAATAATTGTAGAAGACTAATGTTTTTTTTTCTTTACATTTTCTTTCTTTGAGCAACTCTAGAATGACAATTTTCAAGTTTTATAATTGTACCAAATGAGCAATGTATCTATATATACATATATATATATATATAAAATATAGTATATTCTTATATAAAATCTTAACATTTTTTAATCACGAAAGAAAGAATATTAAGTGCGAAAATCAATTAAATTGCAGTCACTAGTAGTAACACATTGTGCAATACATATTATTATCGCAATTTTGAAATTGCAAAAGTACATCTCCGATAAATGTTTGTTACGCTATCTTATTTGTTTTTGATACTAATAGATTAATTGAACGTATACTGTATAACAAAATAACAAATTTACAAACAGAATATTATACTCGAAATTGTGGCAATATAAATTCGAAAAGCTTATTAATTTCACAAGTTAACAAATTTTTATTATTTACACAATAATGTAATCAATTGATATGCTGTAATTGTGAAAAGACCCTTCCACCTTTGAAAAAATATTCTTCAGACAGAGAGAAGTTATTGAAGTGAGCACTACTCACGTTTGATGTTACAGTTTGTTTAGGCTTGTAGTGAAGAAAGAGTATATCAAAATGAATAAACGGACAACCTGTTCGTTGACGTACACGACTGAAGCGCACGTTAAGAAGAACAGACGAAAATGTGAATGGTACTCGGGCCGCTCACTTGTCTTGTACAGTGGGCCAATGTACGCGCGAACTTAGAAAGTTAATACAAGAGTGATATCCAGCTGAGGCTTTTCAATTCGTTTGAACGATTCTAACAGTATCTTTGCACGTTTTACACGCTTAACGTTGATGATAAGACGTGTATCTAATACAAACTGATACATCCCGGTACGTAAGAGTACTTGGCGGAAAACATATAGTGATAGCAACTATAATAAAGTTTAATTCGCAATTGAAAAACACAAATAATAAGAATAGGGAATAACAGATTTCAACCTGTTCGAAACTGTATAGGTATATGAAAATATACTGCTTCTGATCTCTGAAGCTGAAATTTGTTATTCTCTATTTTCTATTGTTTATGTCTTTTAAATATGCTTTAAGCTTAAAAGTTACAAGTTTTATATGCAGAGTAATTTGTATAGTTTAATATACATAAATCGAATAAATTAACGGAGACATAAGTAAGAGTTATTTTTCAGTTGCAATAACTCTAGAAAAATTTATTTAATTATTCAGTTGACACCAGCTAAAAGTAACTTAATATTAATGTTATATTATAATTTTGCACTCAACAATAGAACAATATAATATAACATATAGTATTACATAATAGTTATGTTATTGAGTGCGACATTATGATTACTTCTAACTGATATCGACTCTGGATATGTAAATTAATTCTATATGTAAAACAATTTATAGAACTAATTTATACGTACTCCATCTGCTCTATAAAACTTGTACAGTTATCTTTACTGTTGCCATCACTTTTTGCCATGACTTTTTTCTAAACGTAGTATGATTTCCTTTACATGTTTTCTTTATAAAAAGGACATGTAACATTTGTTCAGGAAAACGTGAGAAGACTTGGAAGAACCGTGCAGTCGCATACACGCATTTTCGTTCAAGATAACGGTTTTGTACTCACTTTCTAACAATGGTGCCATGATGTGCTGGGTAATTTCCGCACTATCAGCTAGCAGGCACGTAACTTGAAGATAGAAGAACCCGAAACTTTCGAAACGTTTGAACACGAAATCAATCACTGATGTTCGGCGTTCCAGACGATCCGAGCGGCATCAAAAAACGCTCGAAAATGCGGCTGGCGCGATCCAGCATCCACTCTTATACGTAGTATAAAAGTCGTCAGGGTCAGGAAGGTAGACAGTAAACGTCGATTTTGCACGAGCGCACGACTTCGTTGCTCGCATGAGAATGCAACTGACATATAATTTTATTGTCGCTGCCATTAACGCTGCCGTAACAATAAACGGAACGCGATGACGACGTCGGAAAAAAATAGTAATTAGCTTAACAATATATGCGATAGATATTGCCGATTAATTGAATCGATGGACGTTTCATATATAAATATTCAATTACAATTGTGAACACATCGATTAATATTAATGAAAAATTTTCGTGCTGTGACATACTACAAAATTATTAGCAAATGGAAAATGTTCTTCTATAAAAAAAAAAATATAAAATTGAAAACTTTTTTATGTAACCTAAAAGGACATTTCAAATTAAATATTGTTATAGAATAGTTGGGAATGAAAAATTGTGTTGTTATTATTCTGATTATAATTACGCGTATGTATCAACTTTTACAATAATTGTATAATAATGACATATATATATATATATATATTCAAAAAAGAAATGTTTAATTTATTTGAATTAATAAGACTTTAAGAGCCAAGGCCCGAAAGAGTAACCACTATCTGAAACATTGTCCCAATGACAATAAAAATTGTTGACAATTGTTCCAATTGAATCGCGAAAATGTGAAATTGAAATGTTCATGTAAATTTTTTCGCTATGGATTGTGGTAGCAGAAATCTAGAAAATTAATGTAATATTTTGGAATTAGAATAAGTTTAGTCTAGCAGTGTTGTTTTCTGATAGATCGTTATTTTGGAAACTAAACTATTATCTTGAAATAAGAACGGATTATAAATATTAGTCTAGAAGGTAGTACTCCAACTACATTTACAATTGTTATGAGTGAAAAGTTTTATCTTAAATACTTCTAATAAGTAAAAATTGAAAAATAAAAAGTAAGGAATGAAATATGAAAAGTGAAAAATAAAAAGTTTCACTTGAAATTATAACATAATTGATCTCTGTATATGGATATCTCTTGTCAAGATCTACATAGGTATCAATCATGTTAAATAATTTTTTCAAGTGAAATTTTCCATTTTTTACTAATCTTTCCTTCTATATTTATATAGTGCGATTCTTATTAGTTCATTAATATGGTTAATTTTCATGCTTACTCTGAGCATTGCTGAGGACAACCTGGGATTGAAAATTAATGAAAAATAGATAAGTTTGAACCCGCAGGACAGGACGTGTGGGTTCAAACGCATCTATTTTTCATTAATTTTCAACAAAAGATAATACTTTTATTATATCCATATTTGATCGCTTTTTTTGCTATTTGCCTTATATTGCATTGCAATATTATCAACTTGACTTTGATATATAAGATAATCGGAATCTAAATGACTTATAATTAATGTTTAATATGTCTATTCACTGTTTATGAATAATTATAAGATAAATTCATAAAATTCAAAGATAACAGATATATCGTACAGGATGTTTGTCTGACTCAATTGCATCAATTTATTGCTCATTTGTTTGTTCATTCTGTTATTATTAGTAAAGCAAAATGCAGAAAGTTGTAGTGGTGATTTAATATTTCGCAGGTAGGTCATGCTTTTTATAACTATCAAAAAATGATTATTAATTTCTGTAGTTTATATTATTACAATATATATTTATACTTCATAACACTGTATTTAATATATTATACGAATATATAAACATTTTTATCACAACGTTTTGTTTATAATCAAACAGAAAAAACTCTTTGAAGTATATCAGATAAGAAGTATATCTATTGATAGAATTAATTTGGCCAATCTACTGAGGGAGACATGTTGAGTGTATATGCATCGCTTCTAACATTTTTTTATATTTTTGTTGTTCCAAATCATAAATAAGTAGCTAAGTAAATAAATAAATAAGTCAACTGGTCTTTGGAAAACAGACAATTCTCCGTATTCTTGCATATAAATAAACACGTTAATATATTAATAAACTTAACTCTATAAATATTGTATCAATTTATTTTTCATTTCTTTAACATTCGTTTTTACATTTTTCTAACATTTTAAAAGAGAAAAAAGAGTTGCTATTTTTTAAATCTTTACTACAAATATTTAAAAGCATTATATATATTTTTTAATAAAAAAACTTTTGAATCTGATTATTAGTTTTCAATTTTCGACTCAGCAAAAGAATTTAAAAAAATTGTAAAACTTAGGCCATATAGTCTAGTTACTTTATTATATTTTACAATAATGTGTTTTACAATAGTGTGCCGTTACTACAAAATAAAATTACAGACTAAATATGAATTACCTAAAACACTTTTTTTTTCGTGATATTGCATACGAAATTCTTAAACACAATAAATTTCGTACCTGATGGGACCATGGTCATTTTCAAGCATTGGTTATCCATATCGATTAAATCCTTGATAATATTCAATCACATGAGGAATTGAATAATTGACCTAACATTGACAAATGACGAATGATGCACACCTTTTGATTCACGTTATTGGAATACGTTAAAACGACGTGTTCCTTCAATATAAATGTGCATGGAATTCAGTTTGATCTTTACCCTTCCGCTGTCAGCGCGGCCATTACGTTATTCTTTCTATCTACTTTGTCCTATCCCCTCCACTTAATGTACTTTTAATACGCTTCGAATAATCCATGTGCAATGACTGAATAAAAAAAAATTAAAAGATTGCAGATTACAAAAGTTACATTATTATTTGGTTTTTACAATGGATATTATATTCGTTTTTCTATTTCTTTCTAGAATGAAATTTTATATGTATATATTATTTATCTTGTATCTATGATTTGTTTGTTTTAAATCTGTCAATCATAGGAGGCTCCACGGAAAGAATCGTTTATTTTATATACATATATATTGTGTACTATTTTTTAAATTAGAAAGTGCAACAAATAATCTCCTTTTCTTGACATTGTTACTGAATTTTAATTCTAAGAACATTTTCTATTGTATATTTCAAAATTATTTGCAAAGATTATCCCTGAAGATATATTAAAAACAACTTCAAAGATAATCTCTCAATAAATCATGAAAATCTTGAAACATAATAAGAAACTATCTATATCATTATATAACACAGTAATTACATTTAATACTCTCATTTGTCTTTAATTACTGCTAAATGAAGCTCGCATGTTTATTTTTTTATATCATTTTTTTAAATTTTTACATAATTTACGGATATTTCCAATGATGTGTTCGAAGATGCGATTATAAATGCAATTCCTCAAGTAAAAATTAAAACTTGTAATAATTTGACAATAATATATTTAATATTGTATAATAATACAATGAATAAAATTAAACTTCGTGTTATCTGATTTAAAAAATAAGCAGTTTTTTTCCAGATTTGCAAAATTGGAAAATAATCAATTGAAACTTATTTCGTCATCTCACAAAAAGAACGAGATAAACGATAACTACTAATTTTACCGATTACTTATTTTCTTTTTTCCGAAATTTGAAAGACATTTGTGAGCTTATAATTGTGTCTGTGCAGAATAAGGCCAATTCTTTTTTTTTTTTTTTTAATATTATGCATACGTTTTCGTAACATATGCGCGCGTCAGCAAAATGCAAGAAAATATAATTAACGACAAAAAAAAGAACAAAGAATGAATACATGCGTTTTTACCAATCATTGCGAAATGTTACTTCTAAGCTATTTTTATTATTATTAATACAAAGGTAAGAAATATTACCTTGCTCTTTTGTTTATTCCCATAGCAATGTCTATGTCAATTTCCTTGCTCAAAACGAAATAAATAAAAGGAGATGACATAATTTGGAGTTTAGATAAAATTTAAAATTTCATGGTCTACAGCAAATAGCGCAAAATGCTGCATGATTAAAGTCAATCTTTCCATCATTTTACTTACAATAATATACGTCTGAAGGATTTTACTCTACTATCGCAAAAACAGATTTACATACTGCTGCATACATCATCGCTGTTCGAGAATAATAGAATAAAAACATTTATTGTTCGTTCATTTTTTATCTGATTTAAAAAGAATTTTTTTGTATCTCAAAGTTCAGTAAAATTAAACACTAGAATTATACAAAGCAATCAAAATGATTGGTTTGTAATTTTTTACCAAGTAATGCAAATCTTTTGAGATTTTTTGTGTTTATATTGCAATATGCAAATTATTTTAGCGCAATAATAAGTTAACCTGCATATACACATTAGAAATTAGAAATCAACTGATAATTAATACAAATAATGATAGAGAAGACACATCAACATTAATAAACAGATAGCCACAATTATGCTACAAATACTTTTGTTACAAATTTCAAGAGAGATTTCAAGAGAAATTAGTGTATATATCAAAATAAAATTTCTGTGATAGGAGCTACGTAATTATGAAATATAACATAACATTCGGTACGAAGATATATACTTTTTTAAATATATTCGAGTAAACAAGAAACATTTTGAAACGCTTTAGCAACATTGTAACAAAAGTGAACGTTGCTACAATGTTACTGGAATGTTTCAAAATGTTGTTTGCTTATTAGGATATTCATATTTTGAAGAAAATGTATTTCAAATTTGTGCTGATATGTCTCGTTTCATAATTATGTAGCTTCTATCATAAGAATTGTATATTTTGACAATTCTACAGGTGCTTAAAAAATAAAATTTGTGTGAGTAATTTGCGTCATTAGAAATAGAATTTAATATATGTCTTATATTTGCTCTAGTAGCGCCAAATTTTATTTAAAACTGTTATTTAGAATCAAATGTTAAATGAATCTTAGATTTAAGCAAAAAGGTATTATCTTGAAGATACTAAATTAAGTTAAAACAAAATTATTTTAGTATAGAAATTATAAAGAACACTTATCACTTAGGCTTAATTAAATAATGTTATAGAATTATATTAAACTTGGTGTCAGGTATTGATATA